ATAAGGAGAAGACCTCAATTGCCGCCCAGGGAACCAATAATGATGGAAAACATTCATCAATACATGTACCAAGAACGCGAAGAGAGCCTGTCAACCAATCCTCCAATCCTATCGCCAGAGTCTATGAACCTTCTACATCTTCATTTCATAAGACAGACTACTCAACCACCTCAAGCTGTCTTTTTGAACGATGGAATAAGAAGAGTCATAGACTTAAAAWTAAAGTCATTTGCCAACAGAGCCATACGCTACATCGAGTTCAGTGTGGAAAGAGCCCATGAGGTAGTTAGCGTGTTCAACGAAAAAGATCTCATCAACCTCAATCCATATGACTTGATTGAGTTATATGCTTACACAGCTCAAAGGCAAGATCATGGGATACGATTTGGAATGGCGAACAGAGCTGTTGTCAAGACAATGGAGTCCCTGGTGAAGCACCGAGCCAAAAGCGATTTTGAAATTGCTTTTAGGCTAGGCATTGAGAGGTTATCCTGAGCTCCTCCAAATGAAGATTTCCAGGGCTTGCAGAAGATACGTTCTGCTTCAGTTCTTACTCAACCTGAACACGAACTTGTTTACAATAATGAGTTTAGGGTTAAAAAGTTCTTCAGATTGACTGAAGCCTTCAAGTATTCAACAGATACACTTGAATGGTTTCAGAAAAACATTAGAGAAAGACTAGGCATAAACCATGTGCCAAGGGAAGAGGGAAGCCATCTCATACATTAGATATCAACCATCATTGCTTATCGAAGATATACTCTTGTGCTTCAAAGAGATATACTCAGGTAGTTAGCGATGAGATGAAATTTTTGCTTCTTTTGTCTTGATGTAATTTGTTTCCAGTATTGTAAAGAAATTTCATCATCCATTGAAAAAATTTGGAGTTTGATGTTTTTCTACTAGACTAGTGTCTGTTCTTCACATATGTGTCTAGATTAGACTTTGTTTATTTTTTCATTACTTAGGGGGAAATTGTTAAACCCCACAATGCAAAATGTAAAAAGTAATGAAAAACAACAAGT